AATTTGTTAGTGATGAATGTGATGCAAGTTGTCTACTTTAACGCATGATTTGCAACTTGATCTACTTTAAATAATTATCTTAATGATCTTTTCAAACCCTTCAGGTCCTTTATATTACATAGTTTTTGATAGTTTTCCAAAATTTAACCACTGCCTGTTAAAGTCTACTGCTGAACATAGTGTGTCCATAAATTACCTCATAATATGTTACTTGCCATAGTTTTAATAGTGGTAAGCGGGTAAACCTCCGCAGTTTTTTTCATATTTGAGTTGTTATTAGGTAGAGGCTGCATCATTTCCCGGTTTGTTTTCATCCAGGCGAAGTCTGGGCGGGTAGCTAGCTAAAACAAAAAAAGTTGAAGTTGAAATTGACGTAAGTATATAATTTATAAAATAATACATGTTTGTGGTACGAGTAAGTGTAACAGGTTTCTCTAGATTGCTATTTAACAAATATATTGATGAAATTATTTCTTTAAACAAGGAAGGTTTGTATAATAGTGTCAGACATTCGAGACGGTAGCTTAGCCACCCGTTACCAGTACATATTTTCCCTCTGTATGTCTATATTATAGTATTTAAACTGTAGATTCAGAAAGCAGGTCGTTAACTCCGAACGGAGCGCATGCAACGACATATATGTTTGAATTGAGACATTTACCCATTTAGATAATAAAGTTTTTATGTCTGCCGTGGAGTAGCAACGTAAGTGGACGATTGCTATATAATACATATATATATATATATATATATATATATATATATATATATATATATATATATATATATATATATGGTTTTTTATTTTATTTTATAGAATAAAGGTGACAAATGAGGAAAGAGAAAAAGTATAATAGGGGTATTCAGAGGAATTATCCATATTAATTCCTGAAAAAATTATCTGAAATTTTGCGTTGAGAACCAATGGCAATATAATGATTTCATTAACATGACTTAGTATTCTCACTATGACATCACTATGCGATTTTTTCCTATAGGATGGGGTGACAAACGAGCACACAGTTTAGCTGATGGTAAGTGGTTGCTGTGGCCCATAGACATCTACATGTATCCTCGATTACGAGTCAAAATGCAAATGCGTAGTCACCCGTGAAGATTAAGATGGAATGCCTCCTTTCCAGTAAAAAAGGGTCTCCGATTCTCTACACTCACCATACGAAACACGGCAGCATTAACTGCTATTTTACGCTGGTATTCTGGTGTTCTGTCAGCGTGTCCTTCCCCGAGTCGAGCCGACCCATTTGTGCTACACAACTATACTACTAATATAGTTGTAGCACGAATGGGTATTAGTAAAAGTAAAATATTAGAGTTAAAAAACTCAAACAAAATGCTTAGGTCATTTTGTTTGAGTGTTTTTAACTCTAATATTTTACTAAATTATCATTGCATTAGCTTTCTATAACTGTTCCTCTTATAGTGAATGAAATTTACCTGCCTGCACTTACTACCATTAAAGCCTATCAAAAGTCCCATGCTGGCATCAGCTTCCCCTGTAGATGCTTTTTAGGGGAGATATTTGCCATAGTTGCCATGCTTGGGAGGCAGGTTGGCAATCAGAGAACATATATTACAGAATAAATAATAAATATATAAACGGATACTTATATACAAAATAGAATAATACAAAAATGAAATAACGCGATATATATTCAAATAGATATACAAAATATCAGAAAAAACAGTCGGATAAATCAGGTGGTTTTTAATTTATGATAGAATTTCGGAACTAGCCTCTTAAAATAATTCTTATTACTGTATTTTTTTTAAATAATAACAGGCAAGGCACTCCAGAGCATTATGCACTGCACTGTTTTTTGTCACTACAAATTTAGATAAATAGTGAAGTATACCAAATTGCTCTAAAACCTTCACAAGCAGGAGACCTGTGCCCAGCTATGGGAAAATAAATAGAATGTACTTTACTCGTAATTTTAACTAATAATCAGGTCAGCAGCGCCAAAGATTTTTTTTTCTTAAACATATATTTGACAGAGCCGATGTAATTCAAGAGTTACACGCTCGCTATATATTTCGAAACGGGTACGTGACCCGGGTTTTATCCCCGACACCAATGAAGTAGTTAATTTGCAATTTTAAGATATGATTATTACTGATTACTAAGTGATAAGTAGTAAAGAAAAACATCGTGAGGAAACCTGCATATCTGAAAAATAAAAATAATAATTTCGTATACATGTGAAGCTCACTAACATACATTGGGGCAGCATGGTAGGTGCTTACTTAGTCTATAATACACATAGAGTTTGCCTGGGCCCAGCTGTAGGACGTTTAAAGGCAGTATATAATACTTTTTTAATTTAAGATATTACTTGGCCCCCATACCTTGAAACCACTTTGAAACCCCACACACAGGACAATTTGGCGGCCTCTCATCTCAGAGGTGCCTCCTTTAGAGCCGGGCAAAATCAGAGGCAGTTGCACTTAGTCATCATCATCATTACAGCCTTTACAAGTCCACTGCTGAACATAGGCCTCCCCTAAGGTATGCCACATAGCACGGTCCTGAGCCATCTGCATCCATCGACTTCCTGCATGTCTTAACTAAGTTGTCATATCCATATACCAGGTTGTCACTCCATCTATTGGAGGGGGGGGGGGCTACACTTTACTTTCCGGTACGAGGCTGACACTCGACTATATCTTTCCCCGGCTGCATCCATCCTTGACTACGAATCAAAATGCAGTTGGGTTGACACCCCTGAGGACTAAGATGGAACACCCCTTTTCCAGTAAAAAGAGCCTTCGGTTCTCAACACTCACCATACGAAACACATCAGCATTGAGCTGCTATAATACGCTGGCATTCAGTGAGAGCGTAGTCCTTCCATGGTCGAAGCGATACCAAGTAATATTCCTCATACGGCCAGCAGTGAAGTACCATGTCCCCTATCCCTAAGTCATCACAGAACTTAGTAAGTAGTGCAAATACGAGTATAAGCCTCTGAGAGATGGCTACATATTTGTGTCAATTACTGTTGAGTCTATTGGTCCGTGGGCTCCACGTACGACTGAGCTCCTAAAGGAACTGTATATTATGTTATCACTGCTGGTGATAATTGGGCTTCTTTTCTCGCTCAAATGCCAAGTAAAGTTATTCAGTGAGAAAACGCAGCCAGCGTTCTAATTTCTGATAAATGATAATTTATGTTTTTTGTTTTTGTTTTTATTATGTTTTTTAATATTATATATATTTGAATAATATATAAATAAATGGACATTATATGTCTTAGGCTACAAGATATTTTAACAAAAATAATTGTATTGTTTTATACAGTTAAGAATTATTTTTAAGAATCGGTCGAATACACCTATAAATAATCGACGTATGTTATCAAATTAAACTGTAACACATCAGTCATGATTCATTGCGATATTATTAAACCTAATGTGTCCGCCCTAAGTACCTTAAAACCTAGATGCTGGCGAGTTAGGGGGGTTAGCTCCGGCTAGGAGTTATATAAAAGCGTCGTTGAATGTCTCAGGAGTAGTGTTTACTGAGAACCCCTCTACGACACAGCTTGAAAATATGAAGGCTATCGTAAGTAGTCCGTTTTTTAATTTATAATCAAGTTCCATTAAAAAAAGTCTAAATCTACAAATCGAGTACCCCTTTTTTCAAACATTTTAATCAATTAAAAAAATCTTGTTGGAAATTGAATAAGACTTCTTCACTTTATTTCTTGCTTACTTATTTTAAACACTTTCAATTATTTATCGTTTAAAGTTTTTTTTCATATCATATTCATTACGTAAAACTATGACAGAAACAGCATCATGCTTGTAATCACTAATAGGGGGGAGAATTCAAAGAGAGCTACTGGAAACACATTTTACCAAAAAATAAAATAGGGTTTAGAGTATCATTTATCACGTTACATTTATAACGAAAAACTAAGACATTGTGTCACACCTGTAATTCCCAAGAGGTTTTTCAGAATTCAAAGAGGTACAAGCTACTTCAACTACGTTTTTCCAAAAAAATAGGGGTTTAGATGGAAAATAGTAAAGGAAGGGGTAGGTGACTAGCCCTTGGCCGGTAAGATTACAAACCAAGTATCCAATTGGTTGCCTTTTGGGACATGCTGGACAAGTGCCAGAGTTGGTACATTACTTTGTATTATAAGGTAGAGAAACTAAGTTAACGATGTAGTTTAAATAAAAATCGGTCAAGTGCTAAGACACAATTGCAAAACAAATAGGTGACATACTGCCATAATATTTGATGGCACAAAAAATTCTTAAAATTACCTTTTTCTATCTCAATATACACTTTAAAAAATTTACGTAACTATATAACATAAATGTACTTGGAACTAATTACAAAGGTTTTATTTGATAAACTACACTCTAAAAATAATATTAAAAAATAAATTTAAAAATAAACATTTAATTTAAAAACTTGACTTTTAAATCTCAATACTTAAAATTAAAACCTAATTTTAATCATTAACGTGTAATAATCTAGCAGAAAACGTCTCAAACAGACAGATCAATAGATACATGCTTTTATGTATGTTTTGAAAATTATGGAATAGAACTTTAAAAAGCTGAATCGATATGAAAGTTTATCGAAATAGATTATTTTTTTAGTGACGACTCCGTGGCACAATGGCTTAGCATTGAGCTGCCACACTAAGGGCCGTGGGTTCGAATTGCTCAAGGGTCAAGTATTTCTATGGCTTATATGACTTTCCAGGTCTGGAAGTTTGTCCTTGTGAAGTTTATGTTTGGAAACAGCCTCCATGATACAGGAGAAAAATTTCTAGTATTTTGGTTGGGGTTTGGGTTATTAATAAGTTTATTTGTTATTCTAACTTTAAACAGCCATTTTTAACAAACATCGTTGTTTAATCATAGCGTATTTAACGTAGAGGTAAAGATTTATATAAAATATATAATGTAATTGTTTTTATAAGTACATAATTATATAATTTATTCATGTACCTATTTTCCAGGTGTGTTTACTCCTGTTGGTCGCCGCCTCAGCTTACGGCGCAGAAGAAAAGAAGAACGAGAAGCGTGGTCTACTCGGCCTGGGCTACGGTCTTTCGTCAGCTCCGCTGATCAGCCACGGCTACTACGGTCATGGTTTAGGCCTCTACAACCACGGTCTCGACTACGGAATCGGCCTGGGTGGTCATGACCTCGGCTTGGGTCTCGGTGGTCACCAAATTATAGCTTCTGCACCTGTTATCAGCCATAGCGTGTACAGTGCTCCAATTTTGGACCACGGTTTGTACGGAGGCAAACTGAGCTATGGAGCTCCTCTTTTGGGTCTTGGGCATGGGCATTTGGGGTGGCATTAAAATTGTATTAGGCCAATATTAAAATATGTATGTTAGTTACATTGCTCTCTATAATACTATTTATAAGATAGTCTTGGAAAGTAATGCCCGCAATGAACTGTGTTGTATGTGTTCTAAATTGTCTCACTTCTTGTATATATTTAAAGGGTAATAGTATGGGTATTCTGTGCCAAATTATGTGTCTGTTGGTATCTTTTGTATAAGTTTAATAAATTTAAAAAAAAAAATACACTTTTTTTTCTCCTAAACAGTCACTGTCATTGTACACGTCGCAATGCAAAAACCAAAAGTAAAGGCAAGTTGGACAAAAACATCCTATTTCAGGCACAATTATGACGCCCGAGCATTGAAACTTCTTGAAATAGTATATACTCTGAAAAAATAAGCGTATACATGTAATAATCAATCAAATTCCTAATTGAATGGATTTCCGAATTTTCTTTATATTAATCAAGAAACAATAATTACAATTTCATGGGCGGAAAATTTTTTGACGTTTGTTTTTTTAAGCGGTAATTTTTTATTTTTTATAATACGAATTTATGTTTTTTTTTTCTTATTATAAGCCGGTGGTAAATTAGTTTAATGGTGAATTAGAAGTAAATTAAGAATCTACATCTAATTCACCATTTAATCGGCGACATTTTTATTTTAATCCTTACTTTTAAAGGATAATCGTAACAAATCCTTATTTCTTGATAATAAGCAAAAACGATTTAAGTAAAGTAACTTTTAGTCCACCTAACATGCTTACATCATGCTGGATAAATATGCATGCATCGGTGAAGGAAGTTCTATCAGCCTATTAACATATGAAGTCCTCCTCTTCAGGGAACGAAGTAACCTGTCTAATAAAATAAATATCGGGTATTCTATTTACGTTCATTCATGACTCCAGAGTTCTGGGTAATAAATAATAAACTCTCACGCCTGTTACCCAGAGGGGAAGGCAGGGACTACGGATTGAATTTTGGCAAGATCCTGATACAATTCTCTTGCTTCATTCACATCTATAAATCTACAAACGCTTGCTCATGGGTTAAAGGTACTCTTAACTTGGGTAATTCTCAATATTTCGTAAATTGGATGTTTTGTTTGTTTTGTCACAGTTTTGTCTTATCACACAATTTCTCATGCTAATACCCACAACAATGTCAGCCCTAACATATTTTTACAGTCCGGCAAGATTTCGTCGGTAGAAAATGTAGTGTTCATTATCTTTTTAATATTAAATTCTTAGTTAATTAATTAACTTCGTTAGTAACGAAGACTAATCATATATTTTATATAGATATAAATGGAGGGCACTTAAGAAATAATATTAAACTTTAAAAGAATGAAACAACACACATTGATCATGGGCTGATAAGAACCCAGTGAGAATAGGTCATAGTTATGAAACAATTGTTCTACCATGCGTTCTTGCTTTCATTACATATTTGAATAAAACAAATTTTTAAAGACTTTATCGCGTATTATATATTCTCGACGTTTCGAGTACTTTAAAGGTGACTGAGATGTGACGTCCCAATATGATATAATGATTTCTTATATTTACGCGAACACTACACATTGATTAAAACTACTTTTACGGATTTTTATAATATATGTCACGAAATTTATAATATAATTCACGGGGGACTAAGGTGACTGACGTCCCGATGTCAAAGTTAACCCGGAGTACCTTCAGCTTTTTAATTATTTTCTTTGGTCGGATCTACGCAGAATGAACTAACTGTGTTTTGAAGTCTTGCAGTGATATGCTTGGGTTTAGTTTTAATTTTATTACTTATAGGGTCCCAAGCAGGTAGTACCCAGCCTCCTTCTCTATTGAAATTAGGATATTATTTAATTTCAATAGCCTCACGTATCATCCTTGGTAGCAGTCGATGTTCTTTCGCGAAGATTTGTGGTCTATCAAATCTGATGTTGTGGTTAGGGCCATCTAGGACATGATCACAATCTGCAGACTTCCAATGTGATAATCTATCAGAGGTACCTTCAGATTAAAATTATAAATTTTTGGTGCGATCCACCCAGAATGATTCATGAATTCATTTCATCCATTACAACCCTTCTCAAGTCCCTTGACATAACTTCCCCTCCCCTAAGGAATGCCACAAAAAAACTGTCCTGGTGACTTTATACACGTTGTCTTTCGAGAACCTTTCTTCTCTATCGGTTGCCCGTTCTTCAAGCTGTTTGGCCGGCCCATTGCCACGTTAGCTTACTAATCTGCTGGACTAGGTCGGTTAATCCGGTTGCACTGTGGACATCCTTATTACTAAGGCTATTACGCAGGGGAACTTCTAGCAAAGCCCTTTTCATAGATCACTGAGCTTTCTTGTAAGGCCAGGTGTAAATTTATTTCCCCCGCTGATCGCATGAGACCGTATGGATCAGAGATGTGATCCTCACTGTGTTGAATAAAACTATTACGAGGGTGGATTGAAAAGTACTCGGCCTAACCAAGAAAATAAACACATACTAAATCAGTTATATTTTTATTTTTCTACATAATCACCATCAAGTTCAATACACTTTTGCCACCTCCCCCTTCCAAGCATTTAGACCGTTGAAAAAAAATAATTATTCCTTAGAGTCAAAATATGCGTCTACAGCTGCTTTGACCTCGTCGTTTGTCGAAAATCTTTGACCTGCCCAAGTGCTTTTTTAGGTTAGGGAACAGAAAAAAGTCTGATGGTGCCAGATCAGGTGAATACGGCGGATGCGGTAACAGTTCAAAGCCACAGTTGTGAATTTCAGCCATTGACTGTACTGACGTGTGAACACGGGCGTTATCTTGATGAAACAGGACTTTTCTTCTGAGCATTCCTCGACGTTTTTCTTTTATTTCCTTTCGTAAACGACGTAGTAAGGTGCATTAGTAATCAGAGTTTATAGTCTGACCCCTTTCTGATAATCAATCATAATCACACCTTTCGAGTCCCAGAATACTGAAGCCATCACCTTATTTGCCGACAAAATCGACTTAGCCTTTTTTAGGGGGTGGTGAACCAGATCTTCTCCACTGTTTTGATTGTTGTTTTGTTTCCGGTGTACAGTAATGAACCCATGTTTCGTCCATAGTAACAAAACGATTCAAAAAATCATCTGCATCGGCTTCAAATAACTCCAAACAGTCGCGTGAAATAGTCAATCGCGTCCTTTTTTTGTTCAACTGAAAGCAGTCGCGGAACCCACCTCGCAGACACCTTGTGGAAACCCAACTCGTTGACAATGATGTTTTGAGTTCGTTCATAAGAGATGCCTATAATCTCGGCTATCTCTCTAATTTTTAATCTGAGATCTCCCATTATTAAATCAAGTACTTTTTTAATATTTTCGTCAGTAGTTGACGTCGAAGGCCTTCCAGAGCGGGGTTCATCTTTCACACTCTCTCTACCACGCTTAAATTCTGCTATCCATTTTTTGACGGATGAATATGACAGAGCACAATCGCCTAATGTACTGACCATGTCATCATGGATGGCTTTTGATGATAGCCCCTTCTTATGGAGGTACTTAATGACGGCACGCTGTTCGATTTGCTCCATTCGCGGAAATTATGTCCGATTACTTTGTTAATAAATTTATAAAATCACAACTAATTATCGCACACGTTTCGAACTTCACACAATGAACTAGTCTGAACTGAACTAAATAATGTGGGTAGATTTGATTTTTTAGAATTGAATGGATCTGTGTTAGGACGAGTACTTTTCAATCCACCCAGGTATTTACGGATTTTATCGCGTTTAATTAGTTTAATTCATTTTTATTATTATCCCGACGTTTCGGGTGCTTTACAGCACCCATGGTCACGGGGGGGACTGAGATGTTTGACGTCCCAATGTCATAGTTAGTCCGGCTACCTTTAGTTTTTTTTAATATTAATTTTTGGTCCGATTTACGCAAAACGAGCTTATAGTGTCATGAAGTCTTGCAGTGGTATGCTTGGGTTTGGGTTTAATTTTGTTAATTATAGGATCCCAAGCAGATGGTAGCACCCAACCATCTTCTCTATTGAAATTTGGATGTTTTTTAATTTCAATAGCCTCGCGTATCATCCTTGGTAGGAATCGGTGTTCTTTTGCGAGAATTTGTGGTTTATCAAATCTAATGTAATGGTGGGGACGATCTTGAACATGTTCGCAGACTGCAGACTTCCCGGAGCATCGGTACTTCACATTAGCTATGAAATAAATTTAAGAAATCATTATCTTCACTGTGTTGTTAAAATACATCTTCAAATTTTCGAATTAATAATCTAAGACGTCGAAAAGTAGGTGAAAATTGAATTAAAAAACATTACATATACAGGTCAGGATAATAAAATTATATGACGAAATTGTGATTGCAAACACTTAAATTACAATTTTGAAATGCCTTTGTGTTAAATACTCCTTCAAACAGAATATTGCTACCGGCGGACGGTCTCCTGGTGATTAGCCATCGGCGCAGGACTAGATAATAGTCTCTGGGTGTATGCGCAAACACAGGTGCACTCTCTATTGCCTTACTCTCATAGTTTCATAGGACGGTAATCCTACAAGACTGGATAATTAGGCGCGGGACCAACGGTTTTACGTGTTTTTCGCGGCACGGTGGTGGAACACCGCTAACTTCTTGACTCCGAAATGCCACTGAGAATTACTTAACAGAAAAAACTAAATAACAGATTTTTTAGCCGGACCAGGTATTCAAACCCGGGATCATATGGCTAGTAATCGCGCTTGCAACAATTAGACAAATGAGGCAGTCGACCTTATGCCCTTAAGAAATAACACGTTTCTAAATCTGTAAGTTTCAAGCGCCGAAACGAGTTCAAGAACACCACACATATCATTAGCCGATCCTGTCTAGATTAGTGAGTAGACCCTTCTGGATTCATACAACGACACCTGGCTAACAGAAGTAGCAAAGAAGTTACATTGACTTATTTTTTTAGCACTTTGCACAATTGTTTTAGAGAATAAGTGTGATAAATGAGCACACAC